TATACAAGTTTCGTCGTAGATGAAACGGATTCGTCTGAGCGTCGTTGGCAGGTATAACGGTGGAAGTGAAGAGGGAACGCGCCACCGAAAACTCCCCACTTCGAGACCCTACTGCACCGAGACAGATGGCATTCCGTTGAACAGCTGATGACGACCGTTGTCGGCGTTGCAGTCGTCGTCATCGTCGTCACTCGTCACTCGTTATCCGCCGGATGCTGAGGCGGCGCCGCTGTGCGGTTGTAACACGTCGTCGATAATCGTGAGATGAGGGGGCTTGGAGAGGACGTCCGTTGTTTTTCTTCGCTCTCTTTACTTTTGAATAATATTAATAATTATTATTAATTTTCCATTCTGATATAATGGTAATATAGATAATAAATATTATAAAACCATGTTAAGGTTCGATCTTCTGGCTCGTTGGTGTAACTGTTGATAATTTTTTTTCTCAATCTATTTATTCTCACTTTACATTCACCTCCATACAATCAAAATTCAAATCAATGTAATATTGTCGTTCATTTATTATTTTATATATTTTGTAAATTTTATTTTTATGCCCATGTAAGTGATAAATAAAAATATCTACAGTTTGTAGATGTCTTTATTCTTTACGATTCAACTCCTCGTGAACTTAATTAACCATAAAATACTATCAACTTCTACTTTAATTTTAGTAATAGGTACCGATGTGCATTTCAAGTTGGAAATAATGTGGTTAAAATGCAAATACTCTATATATATATTATATATATTGCGGGCTAATCTTCGGCGTCAATTTCACATGACTCGGCGGTTTTAAAACTTAAATTGTATTTCATATTAACTACATAACAACTAGTCACTAGTTATATATTTTCAGTACCTAAGCCAAAAAACTAATACCTACATATATATCAAGTAAACTATATAGCCTATACATAGTGCTATAAAATCAATAAACATTAAATAACAATTTCCTAAACTACCTTAACAATAGACATCTAATTAGCCTATACCTACTAATTAGTCATTATCCAGGTACTCATTAGTATTTATATTTTATATTAGAAAAAAATCTTTAAGACTACACAAAAATACAAACGATTTTTATGAGTGATTAATTATCTCATTGCAGATAAAATAAAAACTAGTACAAAAATAATAAATTATATTTAAAATAAATAAATTATAAATATAACTAAAAAATTATTTTAATTAAAGGATTTGGATTTTTTTTTTTTAATAGCTAAATATGTTCAAATAATTTGTGTAGGTACATAAAATTAATTTCATATATTTTTTATTCATTAATTTTATATTGTTACTTCTTTTTTTATATCAAACTAGCTAACCCGGCAAACGTTGTTTTGCCAAAATTTTATTTTAAATATTAAGTGGACCCGGCGAACTTAACGCCTTTTAATAAACTTTAGAGTGATAATAAAACTTATAGTTCAAGAATTTATTTATTGAATTTTTTGAATTAAAACAGAAATCAGTTGAATGCAATATGATAAACAATGCTTTTCGTTTTTTGTTTTCTGGCACAAAAACAAACAACGAAGACGGTTTGCCAACATGCGAACTGGCAATGTACAGCTGACCGTGCGAAAAACATGAAAATTCTAAATTAATCTCACAGACTTTCCAAAATTTTTTTTTGTAAAAACCTCCTGGCAATTACGAACAATTAAAAAAAAAAAATTGAGCCAAATCGGCCCAACCGTTCTCAATTGATGAATTGTTATACATTTTTGGCTCCATTTATATATATATATAGATGTATTTTATTTTACATACAAGTTTTGTGTACCTAATTAATGCAAAATGGATAATAAGTATGATTTCGATCCGATTGAGTCAACAATAGTTACAATCAAGTGTAAATGACAAATGACAATAGTTATTTTGTTGAAGACTTTTATACCTGAATGAGTTATTTGCTACTAAATTTAGTATTTTAGTAGGTACTTACATCGTAATACACTACTCTGAAGTTAATGCTTTTTTCCGCCATTGGATAATATTCTAAAAAATAGATAAATAAAACAAATCAATTAAATTTTACCATAAGATAAAGTATACAAAAACACTCATATTAAAAAAAAGAACTCCAAAAAAATCGCTTAGGAGCCAAACTAGAATTATGCCGCATTGTTTAAAATTCTATCACAATTATACCATATTATTATTAACCGCAACATAATTGCGTATTTTCTCTTTTCGCCATTTATTGTTTAAATGTTAGTTCCTTTATCGCTCTAAAGTCTAAAGCTTCTATGTGAGTGAGAACCATCGTTTCTTTCTCTATTAGACTAACCAAAATGCGTATATTTAGTGTACCTATATAGAAATTAGAAATGTCATGAACTCATAATATATTTAATATCAATGGTTTCTGAATATTGAATAATGATAACTGATGAGTTTTGTACAAGTTGTATACATACCAAAGTATATCGAGTATTGATGGACGATAATATCTAATTAAACAATAAAACTATTAGCTGGTGAAAGGGTCATTTAATTTTTTTATTTTTCCTGCGTAATTTCTAATTATAGTACGTAATTCTATGGATCATGAAACAAATCATAAAATCAATAGTAATAGTTTGGATTTGTACATAGTTGTTATACAAAGCTTTCCAGGACTGTGTTAATTGAAGGTATGAACCAATTTGAATTTGTCTTTCTTATTTTTAATGGTAGGTACCTACTAGATACCTACCTTAGAAATATTCAAAAAAACTTCAAAAAATGTATAATTATTTAATTTAGGTTTGTCATTAGACATGTAGTGTTTTTATTTATCACCAGCGTCATTATAATGTATATCATAACAAAAACTAAAATAACGATAACTAAATAGACAATATTGAAAGTTTTATATGTTGGTACCTCGTAGTAGGTACATTTTAGTATTTGAAGAACCAACAGTCAACAGACAATAGTTTCATAATATTATAGTACCTATTAGTTCTATACTCTCATACCAATTACTTTATAAAATATGAATATAAAAGTACGTATATAACTCCAAAAAATATAATACTGACTAAATTAACTGTAATATAGTACCTAATACCTATCCCTCTCGGCCCTCACTATATCTACTCTTTCTTAAATGTTCAATATATTAAAAAAAAAATTATTCAAATGGAAAGTTTTGTTTATAGCTTAAGCTACAATGCCTAGTTTACTACGGGCAAAGTAACTTAGACAGGTCAAAATATACTGTATAGCCTTGCTTGGCAAAAATAGAATTTTTAACATATTGACCAAAAACACCGGATAAAGTATACATTGCCCAATAGTCTACTTTGACCATAACGGTGTTTGTGGGCCGCCATTTAGTGACTCCTGTATTTTATTAGATTATAAATCCGGAAGAGATAACTCAAACATGGCAACATGTTTTATTTAAATTAATTTATTAATTACTAACAAAATTTATATACTATACATTATTCAACTTTAAAATATATCGTTAAAGATCATTAATGGTAATATTAAAAAATACCTTAAGCTATTTAAAAAAAAAATCTTATCGTTATCGGTATTACCTATAGGTTATAGGTAGATTTAATTTTTATCGAATACATTGGGTTTATTATAGGTATTCATTTTGACGAAATTTGGGTAGGTATTTATTTACGTATTAAACACTTAAATGGACAAAAGAAATGCGCAAAATAAGAATTTACGATCTATGTATTAGTATATAAAGTAAGAAAATTATTATTATATATTTTTATATAAATGTATAAAAATCAACTTATTAACAAATTACTGTTTTTTGCTAACATACCTTGATAATAAAATACAAATTTAGTATCTGCCGCACGTCAAAAATCTTCGCACGAATGTAAATCACTGACAGGCGATAGCAAAATTATGGAATCGGCGAATTATTGACAATTATTTAAATTTATTTACAAAGTCACATAGATATTAAGGTATATTATATATTATTATCATTAGTGAAATATTCAATCAAGAGCACTTTCAGATGAGACACTTTCTGATGACTCGCGGGGACAGGAGTACGGGACACGCAAATTCGGTGGCGCGACACACACTCCATGTCTGTGTATCATATGTACGCATATATATATGTATAACAATGTTATCTTAGTCGAACGATTTTTTCGTAAGTACACATGTAGCCAGCGACAAAGTGTCTCGTCTAAAAACGTTCAAGGGATCTGAGGAGGAAAGAAATTATTTTAGTTTTTGTATTTATTATTATTTATTATACCATAGATTAAAAAAAATAAAATATATATATATTAATCTATGTCATTACCTACCAACCTATATTATAAGACGTCAACAAGTAACAACATATTGTGATTACTTGGTTATAGCTAAAATTTTAATATTTATGTTTTAATGTACCTATAAGATTGTATTATTTATGTAAATATTTATTATTAGATATAAACGATAAAACTATTTTAATTTATTTTATATATTTATATAGATAGATATAAGTGAGTTACTAAGTTATTTAAACACCCATTTTCATTTTTCATAAAATACCTATTTAAAAGAAAAAAAGAGATCAAGGAAGACGATCAAATATATGTCATATGGCTCATTGACAATGTTGTTATTTTCATTTATTTGTCCGTTATGTACCAATCATTGTTCTAATGGTTTCTATTAAACAACAAATTTATATTGAAAATTAATTTAAAAAAATAAATATGTTTATGTTAGATTTGTTCAGTTTATATGGTTCATATTATATTGTGTATTTGTGTAGTATTTATCGTAAGTTAATAAGTACGTATTGATGCATCGTATAACTGGGTAAGTCATGCATAAGGAAGTTAATAAATATCTGTGCTTACTGAGCATTTTAAAACGAAATTATTATTTACTATGCATATTAGGTACCTATTGAGTATAGACCTCCACCATAGTACCATTATTACCATTACCATACTTTATTATATTTAACCTCCACAGAATTGTTATCAATATTATTGTTTTGATTATAATGTTACGTACTTCACAAATCACAATGTTTTGAAATTTTGAATTGTACATTTGTAGTTTGTACCTAGGTAGTTAGTGCATCATTGGAATTTGTAAATTTAAATTTTGTTCTTGTTTTACGTGACTGCACAAGTTGAATCAAGAACATATATATTTCTCGCCATTGGATGTGGGTAAGATACTAAAATAATATATTACTTCCCATTTTTTTTGCACATAAGTAATTTTTTTGTTATTAACTGCCTACTAAAGTAATAAATACATTTACATGTATATTATAAATGTAGTCAAATGATACAATCATATAACTGTTATAACACAAATACGTGTTTCTTAATTACATTTACATGACCTTGAACTTAAAACATTTGATTTTTCAGTGATAGATATGAAGACATGATGCCATCATTTGTTGTCTTTGTTTCATAAATATACAACATAGTAAATTTGTATTATGTAGTATTTATTTCATGTTATTAGTTTTAATATCATAGTAAATTAACCTAATTCAAATTTATAAGTAAAAATTATACAAGTATTCTATCAGTTTTTTTGATTTTAATTTTTAATTGAGTTATGCGTGTTTAAAATATTAAAATTTGAAAATGCTTATAATGTTCATTTAAATAGTATACCTTTTGAAATCAATAATGAGTAATCTATTATATGATAACTGTTGTGTATGCGTATTTTATGTGCATGTATAATTTTTTGTTAATAATCTATATTTTACTACTTTAATTATTTCTATTTCAAATCATGAAATGTTCCTAAATCAATTGAATAAAATACCATTAATATTATTAATAAAATTAATAACGTAATAAAATTGATTAACAATATAAAATTTGCTCAAAAGAATCTAAAGATTTGGTTTAATAACTTATGTTAATTCAAAGTATTTACATAAAATCTGTAATGACCTCAGTTCATATAATCCAGCTGAAAGTTTTCCAGATTTAAATATATCTCGGTTAACTTATTTTCTATGTACGTAATTACTACTGATGTTCTAAATTGATTAAATTATTACTTATAAAACTAGCCAAAATCCAAATTACTGTAGCCCAGGTATTAATATTTAGTATTAACTGTTACCTTGTTATATCTATTTAATCTAGCCATTTCTACTGATTCTTTTCTACTTCTTGGAAGTCAAGTTTTGTTATACCTGTATAGAAGGCATGATTTAATTAGTTAAATAAATTATCGTTCCAATTGTGTACTTTAAAAAATAGTATCAAAAATGTTTGATCAGTCTTACAAAAAAAAGATTACACTGATGTTTTTATCTTCAGTATGTTCCTGTGTAGTTTGATTAGAAATATAACATTGGTTATAAAAAAAAAAAAAATCAGTATATTAAAAAAAATTACATTAGAGATTTTGCATAATATTAATACAGTTTCCATGTTATTTACACAAATTTTTTGTAAAGTTTTTAATATGGTAAATACTAAATCATACTATATTTAATCTAAATTTTATTTTATCAGTATTCATGATGCTTTACTATCTTCAATTTCATACTATATATCAAACGAGTAACAAATGGTGATATCATTATTGCATTTGATTTGAATACTTTGTCTTATTAGCTTATATTTAGTAATATATTCTTAAATATTAAAAAGTGTATATTTATAATATTCTTTAGTTCTTGAGATCCACTTTTTCAGTCTTTTGTTGAGAAGTCCCCATTAATATATGTTTATGAGATCAATGATTTAACTGTAACTTGATTCTACTTTTTTTTTCAATAAGTACTAAGTAAATATATGTATCAATTTTTCTATGATATTTATTATTAAAAACTATAAAAACTTCACTAATTCTGTTACTTTTAATTTTACTTTTTTAGTTCAAGCAAAATTAAAATACAATTTTGTGGTTTAGTCTCCATATTTAAAACATTAAATTCAAATGTAATATTATTCATGAGTTTCTTAGTTAATAATAAACTATTATTACAATTCTTTAAAATTACATATTAGTTTATTAGAAAAAAAGAAAAATAAATTATTAACAATTTTTATTTAAACTTATTAGAGTTTATTTCCATAGATTGAATATACTTAAGTATATTAAGTATATTTAATCCATGTTATTTCTAATTATATCTTTATAGACTATCCAAAACTATAAGTTATCATTCATGTTTTTTTTTTTAGTATAAAACTTCCTTTTTTAATTGAATGATGTTATTAGATAATCAAAAAATTAAATCTTTTAATAATTATGTGAATAGAGTTTTTTGTATTTAAAATATTTCTAATAAATGTTTTTTGTACTATAAATATAATTATCATAAGTGTAATAAATTATGATTGGGTTATATATACCATTTAAGGTCATTTAAATAAATATGACTTAAAATTAACTGCATAAAATTTGGTATCACTAGTTCTTAAGTTTTTTTTTTGGTGGGTGGAATAGGGGATTGCTCTAGACTTGCTAAAATTATTTTCCTTATGTTATGACTATAATTAATTGATTTTGCATATCCGTCAAAAATTGTTAAAATAATAAGTGTATTATAAAATAATTATTGGTATACAATAGAATAAAAATAAAAATAATTACATTGCTATTTCTATTTATAGGAATAAAAACTGGAATAACTATGAGTAAGTATTCGAGTGATTCAAACTCGCGTGACAGAACTAGAAGTTATAGTCGTTATTATAACCAAAGGCACAGGTGAGCGTCACCAATTTTTAATTTAAAACTTCACAATTTAATTTTTCTTGTAGTATTGACTGATTAATAATTTGTATTTAAATTTATATATTATAATTTCTTCATTCATGGTAATTATAAATTTTTTTTTCTGTACAATAATTAAAAAAATAATTTTAAAAGGTGTCTCATGAGTTTTAATGATTTATTTATTTAATTAATATATTAAACATTTTAGATATTATAAAAATAGAAATTTGGATGGACACTAATATTAAAATAACATATTTTTTACAAAAGATTCATTTTTTTCTTCTTATTTTATACTCATCATGAAATATTCATACTGTTATTAATATTATCTTTAATGTTTTAAATTATGGTTTGAATTTTATAATAAATTATATTTATACATCAAATGTTCAATATTTCTATTTCTATAAGAGGATTACTAAATGTTCAGAATTTTCAACTAAATTTTTCATTGAGTATCATTTCAAATATTATCATGATTTAAAATTTAGAATTTATTATTCATAGATAATTATTTTATATTTATAAATTGTTTTATATATTATGTTACTTTTTAAATACGAAATTATAAAAATTAAGTTTCCTAACCATTTGACAATTTTTTTAATTAAATTAATATCAGTATTCATTGAACATACTTTATATATTAAGTATGAACTTATTATATTATACATATTTATGTATAAAAGAATTAATGTATTTTTATATTTATCATTATGCTCACCAGTGTCAGGCTTGATAAATTTTGAAAAGTGGAGAATAATGAAATATTTATGTAATTTACTATTTTTGTTTACTTTTTAATAATACTATTTGTATGAGTATTTAAATGCTTGTATGTATTTTTATTGTAAGTAAAGACATGGTAAATTTATAGCCAGACATAATCTAACCATCAATCCTTTTTATTTTAGTTTATTAAAATATTAATTTTTTCCGTTATCACTTTTTATCTTATTGTTGTGTTTATAATGAATTAGTTTAAGTTTAGGTGCACTATACCTATCCGTTTTTCATTATGAACCTATAATAATATTACCAATGAAAATTTACTTAAAACCAGTTATATTAGATTGTATATTATAATAATCATTAATAGTGTCAAATTTAAGTTTTAACTAACAGTGCATTGCACTGGAACACTGTAGTTTTAAAGTAGTAGGAACCTTCAAAATTATTGTTATTAAAGCATTATATACGGTTTAAACTTAATGGTATAGAACAGTGTGAAAATGACTATATAATGTATTAAAACTATGACAATATACTATTGGTTACTTGACCGACTAAAAATTTACCTTAAATTATATTAATAATTAATGCATAGGTAAATTAGTAAGTTCCTAAATGACCTTTTTTTTTTAAAAGACTTCAACATTTTCTTTTGTATCAGAATTTTAGATTTTACATTGCTCATTATGCATATATGTCTTAACTTGTCATTAAAGAGCAGTATAAAATTAAATAGATATTATTATAAAATAATTAATTACTTATTTTTCTATAACTTTGATCAAATATGATTTGGATCAAAATACTTTAAAAACATTTTTAAAATTTAATTTTTTCAGTTTAAAGTATTAAAAATAAATTTGTAAGAATTAAAATGATTTTATTAACAATAAAATTAAAATACTTTTTAGAGTTAAAACGTTTAACATTATAGTGATCAAACAAATGTATTATTATATAAGTAGCCTATTATGAATTTTATTCATAAACATTTGGAAGGATTAAACCATAAGTTACTTTATTTTTAGTTAAAACTTTATTAACGCTTATTATACCCTTGGTTTGCCGATCTCTCTAATTTTTTATATGATACCAATGTATTCATAAAAAAAATAAATATTTTAATACTCATAATTACAATTATTTATACTTTTTTTTTATTTACCTATACCAATTAAATTTCCTGGAATAAAAATATTAGTTATAATTTATAGAAAAGTATTGTGTTATTTTGTATGCAATTTATTCTATACTAAACAATCAATTTAATTTATTATTTTGTTAATTTAATTACTAACCAATGTTTTATTTATAGGTCTTCAAGTTCTTCATCTACAGATAATTCAAGATATTCAAGAAAAAAGCATTCAAGTAAATCTGGATCAAGGTATTTTTTTATGTTAAAATTGTATACATAATTAAAATAATAATTCATAACTTGTTGGTGTAAAATAAGAATAAAATCCATATTCTTAATAAAATTCAAAAGTTACACTACTTAATATATAAAAATATAAAGAATTTAAAATTGCACTTATGGATAGTTTTGATTTAGATTTTTATATTATTTTAATAAATATATGCATAAAAAGTTGTCAAGTAAGTATATGTTTTGTACAATGCATTCGAATTGCGTCCATGAATTATATTTTGTCCGAGTTGCGTCCGTGTTTTTGTCACGACATATCCGAGTTGCGTTCGTGGTTTTCTTGAGACATGTACAAATTGCGTCCACGCGTTTTTCAGCCACTAACAATAATGTTTGGTGATAAACTCTTAGATATCAAGATTTATATTTTCGTATATTGAGACACAATTCGTATACAGCTGTTTTGTACAGTAGCTGGGTTAACATTGTATCTCATGATTCAGCAGGTTACTGATTTTTAATATTTCATTTTATTAGTATTATTATAAGTTGATTTAATTTTCACAGAAAACATACATTTATTATATAATTAATATTTAATTATTATAATAGCATATATATATATCATTTATGGTTGTTAATTATCAACATTTATGTTAATATCACCTGACCATATAACAATGTGAATAGTTTTAGGGTATACTTTTATAAATAGACATGTTAAAATTAATTGAAATGTTTTGAAAATGATATTATGTATACAAAATATAACAATATACTTTAACATTTTCAAGACCTCACAAATAATATTTTTAAATAATAACAACATAATTAAATTTGTTTTTCTTTGTTTAAATATCTAATTTCATCCAAATTTTAATTTCAAATTAAGTAAAAATTCATAATTTCATAATTTTTGAGAGAACCATTCTAAATGTGATACTAATAAATCTTTTTTAGTCTTTAGTTTGAAATCTTTTAAAAATTGAATTGAATGATTTTTAATAACCACAGAAACACATTTTTATTGTTTCTAGTTTACTAATTTTGAAAAATCCTAAACAATCAAGGTCAAGATCTTCTATTTCAAGCTACTAGTAAAAAATCTTTGATTTCTTGCTCTTAGATAGGTCTTACATGTCTGTACTCTGTACTATCAGGAATATATACATTATCCAATGAAGATTCCTTCCTAAAAAATGTATTATTTACATTTTACATTAACACTTAAATAGGATAATGTAAAATTTTAATAAACTTAACAAGATATTATATAATTATGTCAATATTATTAATTAAAAATAGTTAATATAGTATAGACGTTTTATAAACTAATCTTTTTAAATTTCAATAATCTATGTACTTGTACATAAAATTTATATCATATTTATGAAATTAAAAATTAAGGCTAATTATTATTTAAATATTTTAATTAAATAACAGGTACCATAAGAAATCGAAGCGTAGACATAGATCCAACAGTTCATCAGATTATTCGTCGTCAAGACACAAACGTTCTAGCCGTTCCTACCGTAGAGATGAAAGTCATTCGAAAAAAAAACATAGAAAAAGTTCATCTTCTAGTTATGAATCAAATAACTCCAATTCTTCTTTTAAAAATCATCATCATCAATCTAAAAGTTCCAAGACATTCGATGATAATGAAAATAATAAAAGGGTACAAGATGATTTGTTAGTTGGAAAATCTGAAATTGTTAACAAAACAGATCATGATGAAAACTGGCTTCAAAAAAATGTTTGTAAGTATATAGAGTGTTTCACGATGAACCAACAATTGCAATAACTTTTGTTTTATTGAACATTTTCAATTTTTTTAATTTTTGTATGCAAAATTAAAAAATTTTCTATTTGATATTTAAAAAAATTGAGAAAACTATTTTGTAAATTTGATTTAAAAAAAAATGTTGGTATTAAAAATTTTTAAAGTTTGCTTAAATTAAAAAATGTTAGTTTGCTTAAATTAAAATTTATTTTTTGTTTATCAGTGTTATAAAGATTATTGATTATCCAGAAAATCTATTTGAAATAATATAAAATTGTAGAAAATAAACAGCTGAACATTTTTCATTTTAGCGAATATGTTTTAAAAACCTTATCAACAACATGGTTATTTTGATTTTTTTAAATATCAAATAGAAAATTTTTAATTTCTTGATTTTTTATTACAAAATTACAAAATTAATTTAAATATAGCGGAGATGGCAATTGATAATTAAAAAAAAAAATTGAAAATGTTCAAGAAATCAAAAGTTATTGCAATTGTTCAACGTAAAACACTCGTGTGTTGGCATGTTGAATGAATGTAACTTATTGATCATTTGATAAAGCTTTGAATATAATGAATATATATTCACTTTTTAGATTTAAAAGCACATTAAAATTCAAAATGCTACTTTTAGTGTAAAACTTAATAATATGATGGTCAACAATATAATTTTGTCCTAGTTTTTCTAGTATTTATATTGAAAATATCGAAAATACACATGTTAATAATTACTATTTAGTTTTATTGCTGATTCGTTATTAGATATCCTTATCAGTTATTAGGCACATATCTGAGACCTCATCGCGTGGGAGACAATTCATTTTTGTACGAATAGTCTAAATCCTCTATAATACATTTTTATTAAATGTGCCGGTCTTGTATTTAAAAAAAAAAATGCTGTGTCTAGTAATACATTTCTAAACATCTGTTTAAATATTAGATTATATAATATTTATAATCTTATAAATTATAAGATAGACTATAATACTTACGGTCCTGGGAGAAACGATCGCCTCCATCACCATCCCCCTTCAAATATGTGCCTGTTAGTTATTACTTATTACTTATTAAAATTAGTAATTAATATAAATAAATAACTATAAATGTTAAATTAATAATATATCAAACTTTATTGGTTAACAGGTATTATTTATTATACAATACAATACAATTAATTAAATCTATTAGCTAAGACTTTTATATAAAATAATAAAATATTGATTTCGATATCCCAAACAATATAGAACAATATCATTATTGTTGCCCATTATTATTAGTAATAGTTTTTCTAACATTTCTTCAATAATGTAAAAGTTGAAAGAAACTATTTCTTACTCTCGTGAAAACCATTTAATAAATATTTTCCCATGTATCAATTAGACATGAAATTAAATAATTCCCAATAGACTTTATGAAACCTAAATATTTACTTCCTCTCTCCAAAAAAATATTTTAAATATCACTATCTGTTAAACCAAATTATTTCTTGCTTTGCCAAAACATAACATATATATATATATATATATATATATATATTACAAAAATAGTTAAATATTAATGATTGCTTTGTACTATGGCTTATATGTTATTTATGTGTATTTTAGTGGATATTGTAAAAAGAAAAAATTCAATTGAACAGATCAATCAAGAAGGATTTGTTTTTAAAGTTTTCAATCCATCATCCGAACAAAAAGATGAGGAAGCTACAGACAAACCCAAATTAGATGTTCCAAAAGTAAATGAAGAAGTCATTGGTACTTCGCCTACAGAGGAATCAACTTTTATTATATGCAATCCAGAAAGATTATTGAATGCAAAGGTATTAATTATTTGATTGTGTATTTAGTTGATTGTAATATTTAAATGAGTTTTTTTATTTAGTATAAATTACTTACAAAGCAAGAGCGGAGTTTAAATTGGGCAAAGCAATTATTTGAATCTTACAATAAGTCTGAACATAATGGTGGACAATTTAAAAACTAATTGTAAAACTAACTGGAAGTAATTTATTCAAGATTAATCTATTTAAATGTACAAGAATTTGATTTGTAATTACTATCGTTAAACTATTTTATTAATGTTATCTTTTTTACTTAAAATATCCAAAGACATTGTATTGAAAAATTATATTTTTGCTAGGATTCAAATATATTTAAGAAAAATTAAATCAACTTTTAATTAATATTTTTGACATTGTTTATAATTTATAAACTCATAATAACATAATTCCATCAGTGAAAATAGATACAAATATAAATATTTGTATTTATGAATAAAATATGTACTCATCTGTAGACACGGAATTAGAAATTAACTTCTTATAAGTCAAAAGATCAGTTTTAATATTATTATAGCAGATAAAGCAATTATTTTACTGCAATTAAAATTTTTTTTATGAAATAATTTAAATTGATAAGGCTGTTATGGTTTATGTTTAACCTGTTTAATTAAACTATTAATATTTTTTTTCACAAAGAAACATTTTTGTAAGGTAACAAAAACAGTTGTTAACAGTTATAATAAAACTTTTTTAATATGTTTAAAGATAGTATATTAACATAAAGTATAAAGTTTATCTTATGTTTTTGTATACGTGGTTTTTAATAATTATGATTCAATAATATAGAATTTGAATAAAAAAAAAAGAAGAATTTCTTTATTTTTAACGGTATTTTTTTTTATTTTATTTTATTTTTTTTTTTTTTGAAGCTTTTAAACACTTAGTTGTATTAGTAAAAAAATCTCAATTTTATTCATATAAATGATAACAACCATATTAAAAATGGATTTCAGAAGTGCTTTTTTTTTGAAAATGTTTAGTTAAATTGTCAATTTTTTGTTAACTAAATTTATACAAATCTTATACTTCATTTTAATGATACAAAAAGAACCTTAAATTTAAATACTTAATTAGTTATTTAAGGTTAGTGATGTACTAACTAAGGTTATGGGGCCTTAGCTACTCAAAAAATGTTGCATGTAACAAATTCTTCTGAAATCTTTTTTTTGTTATTCAGTTAAATCACCAATATCTATGAAATATTTCCCCTTCCTTCCAAAAAAGAAAATATTCTTAAAATTTGATAAAATACATTTGAACATATATTTAAAATATATCAACTACTGTACATTATATAAATTATGAACTATTTGAAACATTCTCAACTATAATACTATACTATATTAAAAATGCTCATGGCTACCTATTGAAAATTGAAAATATTTAATCACAATTTAACTATAATAGTATCATCTATTATAATATTTTAATAGTAATTACCAAAAAAAAATTTCTAACTAGAATTTATAAATATGACAACTTTTAAAAAAAAAAAAAAAATGATTTTACCTAATTATTAATCTATTCTAATTGAAAAATAAAGAATATTAAATAATTTACATCATTCAGATTATTTAAGTATGCAAGCAAAATATACTGATGTTAATTCTGTTTAATGACAAATTAAAAGTATTAGTTTATTTAGAATTAAGTTTTGTTTTTTTACATCTACAGTAAATATAAGTAATTGTATTTAAAATAGTAATATATTTTTATACTTATATTAAATATTAAATAAATTTCAATCAACTAGTTTAGAGTTGAAAAAAAGAGATTATTTTTAGTGAAATTATAATTGAAAATATTCATGAAAGTTTAAATTGTGTAATATTTTCATTTTTATTATTTATTACTTTTTTTTTTTTTTTTCATTTGGTTGAGTACTAAAATCAAATAGTATAGAATACAGGACATTCTTAATATTTTATTTAGTTGAATAATAGATATAATTGAACCATGAGTTATGATAATATTTTTTTTTGGTACTTTATTAAATTGATTTATATAAAAAAATGTGTTTTATTATAAAAATTATTATTAATAGCCTAATAATAGGTAATCAGATAGGTACTAAGTACATACTATTATTCTAATACTTAACATATCAGTTTTTATTTTATTAAAAAGACTTAATTGAATATGTTTAAAAAGATGTTATTTCTTTGTAAGATAGTAAATTATTTATTTTTAAATAAATGGTGTTTAATTTTTATTATAAATTTTAATTTTAATGCAGTATGCATTATGTATTTGTATGTTTATTCTAATTGGAGATAAATCAATCAAAAATAACAAGATTTTTTCTTTGAAAATGTTTTTTTGTTTTTTTTTTTTTTTAAACATGTACAATTTATTAAACTAGTAGATACCTCAGGATTTAAGTTTATTACAACACAACTATGTATATATTATTTTTAAACAGTTCATGAATATTCAATTATTACTTTAAATTTGTTACCTTAAACTTGCAATGAATAATGATTCATATATTTCTTAGTTTCTTCTGATTAGTTTAGAGTTTTACTAATGAATAAATATATACATCAAGTATATTCTGTTTGGTTTGGTTACCTATTGATTATAATTGAATTGCAATGTAGCATATGTATTAAATGAAAATCAAGGACAATTACAATATAATTGGTGTAAATTTGAAGCCACAGTATGAAAAATAAATTATATATTAAGATTATTATTATAAGCTTATCTATCTTTATATTTATTTGAAGTGATATCTTATGTTATTTTCGGAACTAATGTTGAGTGACACTTTTCAAAATTCTACATAGTTCTTTTTCAGAAATATTAGACTTTTATTATAATACTATAAGGAATTGTTTACTATTTGAATTTTTATAAAATTACTGATATTTACTGTAAAACAAATAATAAGATGCATTGATTTTTTTTTTCAAGTTGTCATATTTATGAATTTTAGTTATTGAGAACATTTTTTTTGATAATTACTACTGGAAAACTATAATAGATGATACGATTAAAGTTAAATAATGGTTTAATATTTTCAATATTAAGTAAATATGAACAGTGAATACTTAATTTGATTATTGCTATTAGGTAACTAATATTTTGACAATAGAAATAGATGTTTTTTTTCAAATACACTAATACACAGTTTAAATCATCAATAGTCAATACAATTAATATTTTCTACATAAAAACTTAAATCAAAACAGTTTTTTAATTTTTCTTTGGTCTTTGATAAGAGTATAATTATTGATTTATATTTTTCAGTTTTGTATTCTAGCTGTACCGAAATTTACATTTTGATATTCAAGAAAGTCTTGGTTGAGTCTTTTTGTATAAATTGTAAATATTCTATTACTATCCTTGAATAAATCGGTATAAATCTGTAGTCTTTGATCTTGCAATAGATACTAACTAACCAAATTGTTTACATTTTTTATTTTAAATAGGTATCTATTAACTATAACAAAATTTTATACACTAGTTAAAAGTTATGTTAAAATAATTTTTTTCCGGTGAATCAATAAAATTTGAAGGGTTTTTAACACCTTTTATTTACTAGGTAATTATTCACTTACTCCAAAACCAATGTATTGAGATTTTTCCCTGATATTAGCGTTATGAATAATGAATAAGTAACAAGAAGTTATAAATAATAACAAGGAATTTGAAATTTTTTATAACCATATATTATTAATTAACTTCATTCTAACTTTCCCAATCTTTCCATTAGTTTTCCTGAATGATTGGTTAAGTCCAATGCAATTCATGCGTTGGCAATAAATATTCTTACATAGGTACTTCAAATAACAATTATGTGATTGGGTGCAATTTGTAATTTTTTTCTAACAATAAGTATTAAAAATTTCTAATGTATTTGATTACACAGAGCTGAAACTTTCGCGATCTTTTACACTTAAATATCATCAAGCTAAGTATCATATTAAAGCAATAATTATACTTAATGACTTCATCAGTACCTACTCAGTACTCTAGGATAATATATTCACTAACCATATGATTTAACTAGGAAAACTCAAAACTAGAAAACTTTTCTTTAAATAATTAATCAAATTATCATTGTGATAAGACCATGAAATATGCAGCAATAAAATGGCAGACATTCATGTCAAAAATCTCTCTCCTTATCTGAATCTCTTATTTATTTATTTATATATACATATTGACATCAGAAATTTAAATAAATAAAGCAGAAACAAAAAAAGTTAAAATTAGATACTCAATCAGTGAAAAAATAGAGGTAAATTCAACATGCTTGATTTAATGAAATTAAAACTTCAATATATCCATAGCATTTTTATCTAATTACAATTCAAGGCGATATAATAATAAAACAAATTAATAATTAATGGTTTTTGGATCATATACCTAATGTATTGTTTATGCACGAACATATTACCATTGAGTAATGATATTTACTTATAATATCAATAATATCAAAATGGATAAGTGAATCACCTTGCGAGGAAGTTAACTTTGTCAAATAGGTACCTAATAATTCTTGGTTTTAATCATACATTAAAATTACAACAAAAAAATTATCTCCATACATACAGAATTTATGCCATGAATATATTAAACTAAGAATAGTAAGTGCACCTCAATTAATTCTAAACTTGAAAATTTATCTTATAAATTAAATAAAGTAATAACTGAAAATAAATTTGGGAGTAAAACCGAGCAGATAGGTAGTGACTAAAACTATAGCTATGGATATTGGAGACTGCAGAGACTGGATAGTAGAATAACTTTGATGAATTTTTTGGTTTTGGTTTTAATTCAATTATTTTAGTAAATAATCACTTCTAGTACCTATATTGTTTAATTAGAGTTTTGGATTTATGGTAATATTGTACCTACATTGACTTGTTTTAAAAAAAGTGTACTGTAGTGGACGCCACTTATAAGACTCAAAAATATAAGGTTTAATCGCTTATTAGGTAAAAAATCGATAAACCAGTTTAGACATATCCAAATACATTAAAAAACTTCGGTTATAAAACTCAAATTTCATAAAATAAACGTAGAAAATGTAGACATTTTTAGTAAAATTTGAATAAAATTAGTTTTTAAAAGTTATTTTATTGTAGGTAGTGGTTTCATTCATATCTTATTATATTTCATATTTAATATTAGGTACCTATCTGATTTCATTTGTAATAAGTAATAATGCAAGCTTTAAATTCGGGTAAGT